ATTTTCAGATCTGACAATGGAAAAGAATATTTTGAGAAGAACTTATCCTCGTATCTCTCTGACATGGGGGTTATTCATCAAAGTTCCTGTGTTAGAACCACTGAACAGAATGGAGTTGCTGAAAGGAAAAATAGACATATTGTTGAAGTTGCAAGGAGCCTTTTGTTTGCCTCACATGTTCCTACAAGATTTTGGGGTGATGCTGTTCTCACTGCTACCTACCTCATAAACCGTATGCCATCCAGGGTTCTAGGGTTTAAATCCCCCTTCAGTCTTCTTCATCCAGACAAGGACTTCTTTCCTATTCCTCTTCGTGTGTTTGGATGCACCTGTTATGTACACATTCCAAGTGCCCAGAGACATAAATTTGAACCAAAAGCCCACAAGTGTATCTTCCTTAGTTATTCCCCCACACAGAAGGGTTGCTATTGTTTTGATCCAAAGACTGCCACTCGATATGTCTCAATGGATGTTACCTTTGATGAATTTTCTCCTTTTTATTGTTCCTCTTAGGAAGGACATTGACCACAGGGGGAGAGTTTGTCACAAGTGTTTGCTCTTACTTTCCCTGTCCTAGTTGAGTCTCATGATGAGCCTGTGTCCTCTCCAAATGAATCACGGGAGGATCAATCACTCCATTCTCCTTGTCCTAGTGTTCCTATCTCTTTACCTCCTCGTCCTACCCACAATCCTAAGGTGTATCAAAGGCAAAGATCTAGGAATGAGCAGGTTGTTTCCCTTCCAACAAGTGAGCCTCATGCGCTTCCAATCACAGATGAGACAACAGGTGTTGTTTCAACCCCTTTGGAACCATCTTTCCCGGATCTTGATGTTCCCATTGCTGTTAGGAAAGGAAAACGAAGTGCACTGCACACTGCATTCCAAAACACCTTTCTTATGGTCTGGTTTCTCCTTCATACTTTTCTTATCTCTCTTCAGTTGCTTCTAATCCTATTCCCAGGTCTGTGTCAGAAGCTCTTGAGTTTCCAGAATGGAGAGATGCCATGAAATCTGAAATGGATGCCCTACACAAGAATGATACTCGGGAAGTGGTGGATTTGCCTCAAGGGAAGGGTCCGGTTGGTTGCAAGTGGGTCTTTACCATTAAATACCGGGCTGATGGGACTATTGAGAGGTACAAGGCCMGRYTAGTTGCAAAAGGCTACACACAGACGTATGGGATTGACTATCTGGAGACCTTTGCACCTGTCGCTAAGATGACATCTGTGAGGGTTCTTCTATCTTTAGCTGCTCACTTTGACTGACCCCTTTATCAGTTGGTTGTAAAAAATGCATTTCTGAATGGTGACTTACATGAGGAGGTTTATATGTCTCTCCCTCTAGGAATGTACGGAAGTGATATGCAAGGAAAGGTATGCAAATTGAAGAAGTCTCTTTATGGCCTCAAACAGTCTCCTAGAGCATGGCTTGAGAGATTTAGAGCAGCACTTGTTAAATTCGGCTATGCTCAGACACAGTCTGATCATACTCTTTTTGTGAAGAGAAGTGAATCTCTGGCAGTATATCTCATTGTGTATGTTGATGATATTGTTGTGACTGGTAATGATGCTTCAGGAATTCGTGCTCTTAAGTCTTTCCTTCGTACAAAATTTGAGATTAAGGACTTGGGGGAGTTGAGATACTTCCTTGGCATAGAAGTTGCTAGATCCAAGGATGGGATCCATATCTCCCAAAGGAAGTATGTCCTTGACTTGCTTTCTGAAACTGGGAAGATGGGTGCTAGACCTGGGTACAACTCCTATTGATATGAGTAACAAACTTTCTGCTTCAGATGGAACATTGTTGGAAGACAAAGGGGTCTTTCAGAGACTTTTGGGAAACTCCTGTACCTGTGCATGACTTGGCCAGATATTGCATATGTTGTCAGTTGTATTAGCCAGTTCATGCATGCCCCCCGAGATACTCATATGGCAGCCGCAGAATGAATTCTATGTTATTTGAAAGGCTTTCCAGGAAAAGGAATTCTATTTACCAAGCATGGTCATCTGAAACTTGAAGCCTATACTGATGCTGACTGGGCTGGAAATATTGATGACAGAAGATCTATTTCAGGGTATTGCAGTTTGGTGGCTGGTAATGTTGTCTCTTGGAGGAGCAAGAAACAATTAATTGTGGCTCGATCCTCAGCAGAAGCAGAATACANAGAATACAGGGCCATGGCACATGGAGTCTCTGAACTGTTGTGGCTAAGGTCATTGATGGARGAACTYGGGATTGAKTATGACAAGCCAATGATGTTGTACTGTGATAATCAGGCCGCCATTAACATTGCCCACAACCCAGTACAACATGATAGAATTAAGCATATTGAGGTTGATAGATACTTTATTCGAGAAAAAGTCTCTTCGGGTGAAGTGTGTCTTCCCTTCATCATTTCTAAAGGACAATTGGCAGATTTTCTCACCAAGGGTATTCCCAAGGCAAGGCTTCATGACACTGGCAAGCTAGGCATGATTAACATCTATGCTCAGCTTGAGGGGGAGTGTAGAGAAGATGGGCCGAATGGCCCATAGGTTGTTATTCTATGTTATATTTATGTTCTTTTCTGTAATGGGCCTTATTCTGGGCCCATCCTCTTCTATGCTGTGTTTTTGTAATTTCTTGCCCAACCAAGGGCCTCTCTTGTAATTATTCAAGAATTAACTTAATAAAATTGTATTAGAGTGTTAGAGGGGGAGATTAGTTCGAACCTCTTATCCTCTAACCTTCTTGCCACCAGCTCTCTCTCTTCATCTTCACCAATCTTTTCAGTTGTTTGCCTTTTCTGGTTTTTCATCTAATCTTACACAGTCCCATACTTCGAAGGGCTGTTTTTCAACTTTAATAAACAATACAAAATATTTATAACCCAAATGTGAAATAACCGGAGACAACCACATACCATTGTAAGTAAGGTAAAAAGGTATAGTAGCATGTTTATTAGAAGATGGAAAAGGCAAAACATGGCTTTTTTTTCCGCTTCATGGGGCTACACAACAGGGGGTAGCCCATCCCCTCTCCCTTAACCCCCCCAACCCTTGGTGGTAGCGGGATTTGATCCCAGGTCTCTACTCCGACGAGTCAGAGAATCTACCAACTGAGCCACCATTAGTTGGTGGGAAAACATGGATTTTACTATAGTAGCAAGTTAAACTAGATTTATCAACATTCTTAGAAGAAGTAACAGTCTTAGGCAAACAACCAGAAGAAAATAAATAATCCAAGTTTTTAGTATGAGTGTGACCCAAACGTCTATGCCATAAGTGCCACACATTATTACAAGAGGTAAGAGAAAAACTAGAAGTAGTAGATAGATAGTGAACAAGGTCTGGTGAAGCTTTCTTATTCTCAAATTCCAGAGCAAATAGTCTTCCAAGCCTATGCCCTTTCCCCTTCAGTTCCTTAGTGTGCTGGTCCTGGATAAAACAACCATCACGAATAAACAAAATATTATTACCATCATCAACAAATTGTCCAACAGAAATAAAACTAGTAGTCAACTTAGGTACAAAGATGGTTTTGGGAAGATGTAAGGGTGTAGACTTAGAAGTGGACAAAAATAAATCATCACACCCACATACAAGAAGATGTAAGGGTGTAGACTTAGGTACGAAGGGTGTATGCCTCCCACACCTTTTAAAACATTGGTTGAAAGATTAGATTGATGATATACCTTTGCAAGATAGGTATACATTTCATGTGCAGTCCTCGTTCTCCTCATAGGTATAGTAATACTTTGATAATTGACTCAATATCCATGAAACAAGCTTCCCATTATCTAGCTTCACCATTGTTGAAATGCTTTGGTGTCAGTTTCTTTGTAACTGTGTCATCCAAATAACTTTCCAGACACTTTCCTTCAACAAAATGAAAATGGAACTTCCACATCCCAGGTTAGATCCATTAAGTTTCATAGGGATAACTTTAGCTTTCTCAGAACCCATAAAGAAGGATAAACAGCAGTCTCACACCAAAAGCCCCAATCAAGTATAATCAGGAAACTGGTTTTCAGTAAAAATTATTAGATGGCATCCCAAATGTCTCACTGGATCCAAAATCTGGAAGTGTAGATTGAAAGAGGGTATTGGTTCAACTTAGAATCTTGTGGTTTCAGGTCCAAAAGCTTCCAGATGGCAGAGATTAATGGTATAGATTGAAATCTGCCCTGAAGAATAAAAGAAAACAGGTACAGCAAGAAAGATGAAAATAGCCTCCAGAACTTGTTGAAAATTTTTGAAAAAAAGTATGTAAGATGATCCTTGATAATATGTTTGAGTGAACTGTAGAAGCCCAGAAGAACTCTGATGTTTCCAATAAACTAAAAAATCAAGGTGCTTGGCATGCTCTGATACCATGACAGAAATTCTAGGGTTCTGTGATAATAGATATCCAGCCACGAGAAAGAGGAAAGAATTCTCTTATGGGGTGTCAAAATAATTAACCCCATCCCAAAAACATCAAATACAGTATTATATTAAATGAAATTACAATACTTCCCTTATAGGCAGAGAAGTCACTACAGCTGATTACAATTATCTTTTAAGTTGACTTACAAAAGTAAAAATCCAATTTTGTCCCCCTTTCCTCTCTACACATACCTTAGGAACAATAATAAAGCCTGAAATGCTCATTAACACCAAGCGATGATGATAACCCACTGAGGTACATGCTCTTTTCATGCATGGTCGAGGCATGAACTTTATGAACACATCAATGTTTTTTAAGAAAATATGGAAGTTAGAAAGATACTACCTAAATTCACTTTAAATGTCCAATGAAGAATGGTATGGATTATCTATATTTTTGGTCCAATAGAACACAAAAGGAACCTAATATATGAAAAGTTTGTATTTGTGTGTTTCATGTCTATTTGTTTATTGGAAAAGATACTTATCAGGCTTATTGTGTTGAAATTTTGTCAAGGAAAAGAATATGATTAATCACCTTTCATTATTATTTATTGTGGTTTTGTTTTTATATTATTTTTCCTTCATTTGCAGCAAGCAGGCTGGAAGTTCAAGCAGGAATACTTGCCTCCCGGTTGGCTTTGCCTGGTATGTTCTGTGATGTTACATTAGGGTTCTTGGTTTTAGTTCCACTGATAATTCTCCTATCCTGCATGCATTGATTAGATATGTGCTTGCTGTTATCTGAAATAGGTCTGTGGTGCATCTGGCAACCAAGAGCTTCCCCTAAATTTCATAAAGCTTGCAAAAGATGTATACACACCTGATCTGATAGCAGCATCTGACTGTATGCTTGGTACTGTAACAGAATTATTCATTTTGAGTTCGAGCTGCATGTGGAAAACCAGGTTTTGTTAATTTAATCTTGTTTCCCTATTTCAGGAAAAATTGGATATGGCACTGTCAGCGAAGCTCTGGCATACAAGTTGCCATTTGTATTCGTATGTAGAGATTACTTCAATGAAGAACCTTTTCTCAGAAACATGCTTGAGGTTCAATCACTGCTTCAAATGCTTATTGTCCTGTTACTCTTTAAACCTTTCTAAGCATATGATTTTTTCAATCTGATGTGTATATTTCACTTTTCCATTAGCACTATCAAGGTGGTATTGAAGTGACTAGAAGGGATTTTCTCACTGGACACTGGGCCCCTTACCTTAAACGTTCAATTAGCCTTAAGCCATGCTATGAGGGAGGCATTAATGGTGGTGAGGTATTCCATTCCTATAGTCAATATGCCTTTAAGTATTCTGCTATGCATCTTTTTGTGGTGTAGATAATACTTTAATGTCTCAAGAAAATTTGTTTAATGTAGATTTTGTTGGATAGTTTAGCAAAAGGTCTCTTAAAATAATTGGTTATTCTTATTAATAACATAAATTCTTGTAGGATGAACTTGGAAAAAGAGAAACTCTAGAAGTCAATCACATCTTATATGATGTCCTCTTTTCAACTTAATTAGTCAAAGATCTTCCAAGTGCATAGAAGACCACCAACTGTGATGGTTTAGACACATGCACGGAAGACCACCAATAGCGCCAGTTAGAAGAAGTGATTTGTTACACATTGAAGGGGCTAAAAGAGCTTGGGATAGAAGAAAAAGGACATGCGTAGAAGTAGTAAGAACATGAAATGACTTAAGCCCAAATAATTTAATAGTGGATATGGTTTTAAATAGAATGGATTGGTGTCTGGTGAAACAGGATTCATGTAGCCGACCCCATATTGTTGGGATAAGGCATGGATGATGATGATGATGAAAGATCTTATAACTACATTCTTTAATTATTGGTTGTTGTCGTACTGGAATACCTGTCCAATATTTCTGAAGCCTCAATGAACTGTTTTTTTTGATCCATCAATGTTCAACACTGAAAGCTCTATTAAGATAAACTAGCAATGTAGTTGTGCTGATGTTTGAAAATGAATAGACTCCCTATTCTATCTTCATTTGTAAATAGATTTGCAAGGCCTTGCAGAGGAGAAGGAAGACAAAATGAAAGGGCAGATATGTCTTAAAGGGCTAACCTGATTCTTAATTTAGTAATACCAAAAGAAAAAGACATCTTGATTTGACCATTTCTGGGAGGTGTTCTCTTGATGGCAGCACAAAGCTCATTTGCTTCTCATCCTTCTACCCCTTTTCGCTTTAATGTCTGGGTGTAACTTTGGATTGTGTCAACCCTAATGCAATCCAAACTATCCAGAAAAAGTAGATTTGGGTTGGGTTTAAGGTTTGTTATCAGTGCAGTGATGGAAGAGAAGAGGAGAAGAGAGAGGAGAGAGAGGAGAGAGAGAAGAGAGAGAGCAGAAGAGAGGAGAAAAGATTGAGAGTCAAAAAGCATGCTGGCGGCGCCAACTATTTTGTTATATATAAGTTGAAAAACAGCCCTTTGAAGTATGGGACTGTGTAAGATTAGATGAAAGCCAGAAAAACAAACAAATGAGAAGATAAGAGAGAGAGAGTTGGGGGCAAGGAGTGTTAGAGGATGAGAGTTTCGAACTAACTCTCCCTCTAACACTAATACAATTTTATTAAGTTAATTCTTGAATAATTACAAGAGAGGCCCTTGGTTGGGCAAGAAATTACGAAAAAACACAGCATAGAAGAGTATGGGCCCAGAATAAGGCTCATTACAGAGAAGAACATAAATATAACATAGAATAACAGCCTATGGGCCATTTGGCCCATCTTCTCTACACTYCCCCTCAAGCTGAGCATAGATGTTAATCATGCCTAGCTTGCCAGTGTCATGCTGAAGCCTTGCCTTGGGAATTCCCTTGGTGAGAAAATCTACCAATTGTCCTTCAGAAGTGATGAATGGAAGACACACTTCACCTGAAGAGACTCTTTCTCGAATAAAGTGTCTATCAACCTCAATATGCTTAATTCTATCATGTTGTACTGGGTTGTGGGCAATGTTTATGGCGGCCTAATTATCACAGTACAACATCATTGGCTTGTCATACTCAATCCCAAGTTCCTCCATCAATGACCTTAGCCACAACAGTTCAGAGACTCCATGTGCCATGGCCCTGTATTCTGCTTCTGCTGAGGATTGAGCCACAACTGATTGTTTCTTGCTCCTCCAGGAGACAACATTACCAGCCACCAAACTGCAATACCCTGAAATAGATCTTCTGTCATCAATATTTCCAGCCCAGTCAGCATCAGTATAGGCTTCAAGTTTCAGATGGCCATGCTTGGTAAACAGATTTCCTTTTCCTGGAGAGCCTTTCAAATAACACAAAATTCGTTCTGCAGCTTCCATATGAGTATCTCGGGGAGCATGCATGAACTGGTTAATACAACTGACAGCATATGCAATATCTAGCTGAGTCATGCACAGGTACAGGAGTTTCCTAAGATGTCTTTGAAAGACCCCTTTGTCTTCCAACAATGTTCCATCTAAAGTAGAAAGTTTATGACTCATATCAATAGGAGTTGCAGCTAGTCTAGCACCCATCTTACCCGTTTCAGAGAGCAAGTCAAGGACATATTTCCTTTGGGAGATAAGAATCCCATCCTTGGATCTAGCAACTTCTATGCCAAGGAAGTATCTCAACTCCCCCAGGTCCTTAATCTCAAATTCTGTACGAAGGGAAGACTTAAGGGCACGAATTCTTGAGGCATCATTACCAGTCACAATAATGTCATCAACATACACAATAAGATATACTGCCAGTGATCCACTTCTCTTCACAAAAAGAGTATTAGAGAGAGAGAGAGCTGGCAGCAAGGAGTGTTAGAGGATGAGAGTTTCGAACTAACTCTCCCTCTAACAATCTAATACAATTTTATTAAGTTAATTCTTGAATAATTACAAGAGTGGCCCTTGGTTGGGCAAGAAATTACGAAAAAACACAGCATAGAAGAGTATGGTCCCAGAATAAGGCCCATTACAGAGAAGAACATAAATATAACATAGAATAACAGCCTATGGGCCATTCGGCCCATCTTCTCTACAATATACTAGGGCGACAACAACTAAAAAATAAAAGGGTAAAAGTACAATAGTACCCCTTTGGTACTATACATAGGAAAATACAAGCTTTGAACACTCTCCCTCAAGTTGGGACATAGTCATAATGCCCAACTTGTCACATAAGTCATAATGCCGTGAATGGTGTAGCCCTTTGTAAAGATGTCTGCAAGTTGATCCTTAGTGCTGACATAAGGAGTACACACTTCCCCTGTGATAACTTTCTCTCTGATAAAGTGTTTGTCAACTTCAATGTGTTTAGTTCTATCATGCAACACTGGATTAGCAGCAAGGTTTATGACTGCTTTGTTATCATAGAATAGGGTCATAGGTCTGTTCACTGGAAACCCAACTCACTCAACAAATTCTTTAGCCACATAATTTTAGCCACTCCATGAGCCATTGCCCGATATTCAGCTTCAGCACTGGATCTAGCTACCACATTATGCTTTTTGCTTCTCCAGGTAACTAGGTTTCCTCCTATAAAGGCACATTAGCCACTAGTTGACTTTCTGTCATTTAGGGATCCTGCTCAATCTGCATCAGTGTACACTTCAACTTTCAGATGTCCATGCTTTTGAAACGACAAACTAGTGCCTGGGAACTTCTTAAGATATCTGAGAAGTCTTTCTGTTGCTACAAGGTGAGTGGTCTTGGGAGCATGCATTAACTGGCTAAGAACACCAACTGCATAAGCAATCAGGGCAGGTCATAGAAAGATATAAAAATCTTCCTACAAGTCTCTGAAACTGTTTCACATCCTTGATAGGTTCACCTTGGCAGTCACCTAATTTGTGGTTAGGATCAATAGGGGAATCAACTGGCTTCACTCCCAATTTTCCTGTATCCTGGAGTAGATCTAGGACATACTTCCTTTGGGAAATGAAGATACCCTTTTGTGAGTAGGCAACTTCAATTCCAAGAAAGTATCTTAGAGGACCTAGATCCTTTACTTTAAACTGTGTAGCAAGAAAAATCTTCAACTTTTGGATTTTATCCTTCCAATCTCCAGTAAAAATTATATCATCAACATATACTATCAGAGCAACAATTTTCTCTTCCCCTCTTTTCACAAACAATGTGTGATCAGATTGACATTACTTGTATCCTTTCTGCTGAACCGCTGCATGGAACCTGCTGAACCAGGCTCTTGGTGATTGTTTCAACCCGTATAAAGACTTCTTCAACCTGCACACTTTTTGTTCATTGCCTTGAGCCCGAAAACCAGGGGGTTGTACCATGCAAACTTCATATTCAAGGTCACCATTCAGGAATGCATTCTTGATATCAAGCTGATGTAGATCCCAGTTAAGATTAGCAGCAAGGGAGAACATGACTCAAATGGAGTTCATCTTGACAACGGGTGCAAAAGTCTCTGCATAATCAACTCCATACACTTGTGTAAACCACTTTGCCACTAAACGAGCTTTATACCTCTCCACAGTGCCATCAACTCTATGTTTGATTGTGAACACCCATTTACATCCAACTGGATCCTTTCCCTTAGGAAGATCTACTAGTTCCCATGTGCCATTTTTATGTAGAGCATTAATTTCTTCCTTCATAGCATCTGTCCATTCAGGTACTGAAAGAGCTTTTGCCACATTCTTAGGGATAGGAACACTGTCAATGGAAGTGAGAAAGGCCCAAAAAGAGGGTGAAATGTTTTCATAGGAAACAAAATGAGAAATGGGGTGTTTAGTGGTGCAAGATCTAACACCTTTCCTGTGAGCAATAGGAAGGTCAAGGTCATTAGCAACAGAGGTATCGATAGCAATAGGGTCAGGGACATCGATAGGAACCAAGATACCTGAGTGAGTATGATCAGCCCCTGGGAAGTTTGATGGCATTGGAGGTACAACTTCTAGGTTCTCCACAGCTCTTGAACTTGTTTGGCCTTTGTATCGACGAAAGAAGACACAAAAAGGAGGATCAGGAAGAGGAGGAGCTGAACCAGTTTTTCCTCATTCCTACACTCCCCCTGAGGAGAAACAGGGAAAAAAGGTTCACTCTCAAAGAAAGAGACGTCCATGGAAACATAAAACTTCCGAGAAACAGGATCAAAACAACGGTATCCCTTTTGAGTGAAAGAATACCCCAAGAAGATGCCAAGAATAGCACGGGGGTCTAATTTTCCCCGAGTGGGTGACAAATTTTGGACAAAACGACAACCAAACACACGAGGAGGAATGGAAAGAAGGGGAGCCTTAGGAAAAAGAAGCTGATGTGG